CAGAAACTATCAACATGTGAAATTGGAGATATTTGATTCCCCTAACTTTGTAGGAAAAAAAAAAAACGAGATGCATTCAATCCCGAAATCGGGCATAATTTCAATATATATATATATATATATATATATAATATATATATATATATATATATATATATATATATAATGATTTAAAAATATGATTCCATCGCTACATAAGACTTCTTATGTAGCGATGGAATCATATTTTTAAATAAATAATTATATTTAGGCTCTACTTTTGTATCGAGCACTGTTTTTTTTAATTAATAACATAAATACTAAAGAACTTTGTATTATTTACCTAACGAGTTCTTTCCTATTTTCTATATATTTTACACACACACACACACATATATATATATATATATATATATATATATATATATATATATATATATATATATATAATATTGATATGGACGTGATTACGATTCCAGTGTAATAAATTATAACCATGGAATATTAGTGTTTTAGCCTTTTTTATGATTTATATATATATATATATATATATATATATATATATGAATTTCAACATCAAGGTACTGATTAGACAACTGGAAATGATCAGTATAAAAACAGATACTATGTCTACATTATTCAAATGTATTATTATTATTATTATTATTTGAATGCTGCCTAAATATATATTTTATATATAGGAAATTAATGGACTTTTTTTAATCAGAATTTTTCTTGTTACTAAACGTTATATTCTGTGAGAAAAAGTATTTCAGTTGATATCCTTGCTATTTTAAAATTAATGTATGACGGCCTAGAGATCGAGAAGTCTTACTAAAGGAAATGTGTTTCTCAACAAGAAGTGAGCAAAAAGGTTTTTCTGTGCCTTAAATAGTAGGAACACACTGGAGTATTGCGAAGCATATTTTCTTTCGTAGCACTTCCAGTTGATATTAATTTTGAAATAACTTAAACGTTAAGTAAATAAGCGTAGCCACAAAATATAATATTTATACAAAGATATGTATATAACAGAATTGTATTCAAGTCGTATTGAATATAACCGAAAAACTTTCTTTTTCCATTTGAGACTAAGAATTGTGCACTTATGCAGTGAGGACATAGCCATCAACACTGTATGGTGACTGTCAGTTTCACGCCTTGAGGCGTGAAACTGACAGTCACCATGCAGTGTTGATAGATATGTCATTATCTATATTATCAATTTTACCGAGAAAATTTTAAACAATATAGTGATTTTCTAAGCCGGCTTAGATGTGGCACAAGGCCGAAAGTATGGGGCACCCAGTGAGGATCGAACTCACTACTCACTCGTAACTGATCTAGCAAGACCAGCTTTCTAACCATTACAGCATGTCGAGGTGCCCAAGTGATTTTCTAAGCACAGCTTAGATGTGGCACAAGGCCGAAAGTAGGAGGCGCCCGGTGAGGATCGAACTCACTACTCAGACGTAATTGTTCTAGCGAGACAAGCTGGCTAACCATTACACCACGTCGAGGTGCCCACATTTAAAACAATATATGATGCTTAAGACATTTTTATGTTTATGCATTCTTTTTATAGATACAAATATTTAAGTAAATGCTCTGTTTTATAATAAACAGTATTAAACAACATTTAGCAGCCTAAATGTCCGAGAAATTTTTACAGAAAATATTCGTCCTCCGACAGGATTCGAACCTGTATCCTATACGGAACCGTCATTTAGCTTGGCGTGCCTTAACCGATTTGGCTATAGAGGAGCGTTCGGTTAGCAAGGTCGAATATACGCTTTTTCTATGTTTATGCGTGTGTATGTATGGAAAGATATGCGGACGCACACAGACACAATTTCGTGTCCATATACACACACACATACACACAAACGGACACACAGACACAGGATGTGCCGGCTCACAAACAGGCTTCATATTGCATCTGTTATGAATTAAATTTTCGAAATGAGGAAACATTGCTGCATTTTTTTAACCATGAGAATTTGACAACTTTGCATTTAAGTGCACATGTTGAAGGAATTTCTATCTTTTTCATTCTGTTCATATCTATCTATGCTCTTATCTATCTTCTTAACTATCTACTACTTATCTATCTGTCTATCTGTCTGTCTATCTGTCTATATTCTTATCTACCTATATAATTATGTCCTTATCTATCTAATTCTCTTCATATGTACAGTGTAACCCGGATATAAGAGAAACCCGGATATAAGAGAGATTTTCTCTGGTCCCAAATTAGAGCCTGTGTTAATGTATATAAATTAGACCAAACCCGGATATAAGAGACTTCTTCTCCGGTCCCGACAACTCTCTTATATCCGGGTTACACTGTATGTATCTGTCTGTCTGTATGTCAATTATTATTGCAGTATTTATGCTGTCTCCCCCCTACCCTGCATGTCCCCTGTACATGCGTTGTTGCATAGCGACGATGCAGTTCGTTGCCTCCAGATACTTTCACGCTGGGAAATTGAGGACGTGTAATTTCATCGCGTTTACACTTACAAAGACAAAATTATTATTTTTTCCAATTTTGCTCTAATCGTCATTGCCAGAAAGTTATTTCAAACTTTTATGACGAAGTTCCACTTAGATTCTTCTCCAGAAGTATTAATTTATGGAACAGACTCCCAAGAGGATGCTTCCTCGATTTTAACATTTTCAATTCTAGTGTCAACCGTTATCTATCCTACATATCTTCATAATTTGCATATCTTACTTTTTCTCTTTACGCCTTATTCAATAATCCTCTACCTTGAGGAGATCTTGGGCCTTGTATTGGCTGGATAATAGTATAAAGCACATGCTATTTAATGTTAATATAAAAAAAATTAACTTACTCATCTTAGCAGGCATGAACCGGATAAAATCACGGGACATCTCATGTGCAAGCAGGAGAAAGAATAGCTGATTAAGATGGGAGATAGAACAAATCATCTAAGAAACTTTAAATAACGATATTTCATACAGTTTAGCATTTCAAATTATTACGGGTGTAGCGGGGTAGTGTGTACTCTGTTAGCAAAGTGAAAAAATAGCAGATATAAAATCTGATAAAAAAGCATGTTAAACATTTTATTTTTATAAGAAAACAGCACATTGGATATTTTAAATATAGTTCGTTTCATTTAAGCATTGTTGATTTTAACGTCCCAAACAATTTCTGCATAACGAACACCAGTTTCTTTACGTTTTTTTCTTAAATTCCTTTACCTTACCTCATATTCAAAGCCTTCTTTTAGATTTAAAAATTGTGCATAAGATAAATTAAAAAATCGTGCCAGGAATGGTAATTTTCTAATCGTAGCTTAGATGTGGCACACAGCCGAATGTATAGAGAATCCAGTGAGGTTCGAACTCACTACTCAGTCGTAATTGTTCCAGCGAGACAAGTTTGTTAACAATTACACCACGTAGAATTGTCTTACTTGTGCCAGGAATTAAGTCAATACAATTTTATCTACATTAGGAAAATTAATGAAAAAGTAGAAATTTTTTGTTGTGCGACGCGTTTCGTCCTTTAGGTCATCGTTGGATTAAAAGAAATGTTACCGTTGATGCCACTACACATTGGCATGAAGAGGAGGAGACGCTGAAATTTAACACTTTTAAATTATTTAATTTTTTTTTTTTTGGCTTGTGTCTGGCGTATAGCTTAGTTTTGTTTCGTTGCTTTTTGGTTTTGTAACCTTTGTTATTAAGTATGGCACATTGTGATAATAGACGATCTACCAAAAAAGGTGAAATGTAAGAATCTGAACGCACATTTACTATGGATGAAAGGAAAATTAAGCTGTTTTAGCGATTAAAGCACTTTCTATACATTTTCGCCTTATTAAATTGTTTTCTCTTTTAATTAAAGTAGCATTTTTTTTAAATCAAAATTATGGCGAGGAAACTTAATCCCCATTAAAAGAATTCAAGGTTACTTTTCTTCTACATTTTTTTTCAGAAATGAAGCCACACCTCGTTACGAAATTCTAGAATACGAGGCTAGGTAAAAAAATGTACAAGGTTTTATAAAGGAGGTAATTCAGTTTTGGGCGTGTAGAAATTGTTGAGAAAGTTAAACTCAAGTCAGTTAAGAAGTGCCATACGTGATATACACTTGGACGATCATGTCTCTTTCGATTCATGACCGACTAGGCGGAAGATTTTCCCGCAAGAGGTTGCCGATTCTTCTTACGGTAGACTGGTTATCAACCAAGGCTACAGAACCCTGTTTCTCCTACTATTTAACCCATAGCTAGGAGGAGATATATATTTATTCGTATAAGTAAAACCCCGACCGGAATTCAAACTCGGTTTGTCGATTTCTCTTCTCCAGACGATATCCATTATGCAACAACACTATTTATTTTACTATGTAGTCGGAAAGCAGCCCCGCCCACCTTTTTAGTTGTGAACTTCGCAAGGTTTCTTCTGAATGGTTACAAGTCAGTTCTCTAGAAAGGTCCCGGTACTTCATCTTTGGTCATGATATTTATATCTTAGATTCTTCTTCTATCTGCCGTGTCCTTTCAGCACTTTGGTAATCATGGCTCTCCACAACTTCCTACCCTTTGTTGCTCTTAGTAAGTTTTGTCTTTTCCCCATTCTTCTCAATCCTTATACCACCACCCATTTTCACAGGCACATTAGGCAAGCGACTCGCTGACTTCCTCTGTACCTTTTGCCTTAAATCACGTCCCTGAGCGTGTCAAATTTTCTAAAACTGCTTACACGTCGTAGAAATGTCAACTACTTCTTTCTGATTCTAAATTTAAGTTTCTTATTTATTTTCATTTTCCTTAACACTTCCTCGTTGATCACATGTTCAGTCCATGCTATTCTGAGAATCGTTCTGTGGGACCATATTTCTGTTGCATCAAGTCTCCTCTTCATCTGTGAGGAAATTTTCCAGCATTCACTGCCATAGAGGAGGACTGATATTATCGAAGTGTTCAGTATTCTTCTCTTTTGGTTCAAAAGAAAATTTCCTGGTTCTTAATACTTTGAGGCTTACAGTCACATCACGTTGAAACACCGCTTCCCATATGATCACCGGAGTTAAGCAATGTCGAGCCTGGTCAGTACCTTGAGGGTCACAGCTTGGGAATGCCAGGTGCTATAAGCTTAGATGTGCGGGTGGTGTAATCGATAATGTCTCGGAATTGTTAATTGGAGAGCGGAGTTCAAATTCTCATTGGGTTCGTTATCTTCTTCATTTACTCGCAAATATCCTTAAGAAAGGCATGAATCCACTTCCTGCGCTGAGCTATAGGTTAATTTGTAAAACTTGTATCACTAAACCATTATTGTCTCAAAAATTTATACAATTTAAAAATATTTTCTGGTTTTAAATAACTGCAAAGAGTTGATAAGTCGTAAAAAACGAATCAATCAAATTAGTACTTTCATTAGTTTTTGGAAAGCATGTTATGCTATTTCAATGCTGCTTCGGATTTCGGTGTCACATTTTTCGTTCGAAACTTCGTATTACAATTATTTTTCCATTTCCAGGACTTGTTGTGGTGGTGTGGCTGTAATAATTAACTGAGGCCTGGAGCCCGAGAAAGCGCCTTGTCTAAAGCAACTCCTTAAAAGGGGTAGGGTTATGAATACGGCTTAATAACAGCGGGGTGGGGTCGGGATTACCTGCCATGCAATCTTCAGTCATGTGCTTGTGCAGTCCCCAATAAAAAAACAACAACAAAATACTGCATCTCATTTGTTCATCGTTGAATTTTGCGAGCAGAAAGCTACTCATGGGATTTTTGATATCAAACAACGTCTTCAGGGATCCAACATTCTTACAGATACGTTTACTGCTTTTAAATGAATTGTAGTTGGAATTTTATTTCTTTTTTCTGTGGTTGTTTCGCATAACCTGTGTGCTACTTCAGAAGATATGGCGTTTATAACTATCGAGTCCTTATGGAATTAAATAGATTAGGGTATAAATAATAATAATCCATGCGAGTATGTAAACAGTGATTGCTACTGCTAATAATGCAAGGCTCTTCTATGAATCGAGCACTCTGAGTCACTGGCGTGCTTATTCAAAAATAAATACGCAAAAATTCACCTTCCTCTCTGCCGGAAGCTGATAACTTAGGGGAAAAATCTCCGACTAATGGCAAATCAGTCGGGTTTCGATCCTGGTTTGAGGCAGTCGAATGTCTAGTCACACTGATGAGCTGTGATACAACGAAACAGTCTGTCTGTGGATGACAATATTTACATCCTCTCTCTCTCTATATATATATATATATATAAACGCAATTTCTTCCTACTTCAAACAATATATTCAAGGATTCACGTGTTTGAGTAGACATCCCAGTTTTTATTAAAGTAAAAATTTAAATCTACCGGCCTATGCATTCGAGAGTCTTAATAAACAAAATGTCCTTTCCGGAATAAGGAAGACGCAGTTTCGAACCCTACCTGCCGGTAGATGTAAATTTATATACACATAAAAAAATAAATAAAATAAAAGTGATGTATTATAAAATTAAATCCATTAATTCCTTAAACATTACTGTTTACTTTTCGGATACGAAAATAAAATGCAATTTGTGTGTGCGTCATTTGTATATTCTTTATCTTCTGTATATAAGAGTGATGTATTTTAAGTACTTTTAAAAGAACATTTTTAATATACATAAAAATAATATATTTTTTTTAATTATTTACCCATTAACAGACTTTTTCACGCAGTGCGATTTTAAAAATGGGCGTGTGTTATCCTTGAACTCTCCTGAGCTCTACAGTATTTGTTCATGACTTTCAAAAGGAATGCGTCAGCGTGCCAGCAGTTCGAAATAATTTCATTCTTTTTGTTTATTAATCCATTTTAGTCCAGGAGAACAAACAATAACACAAAACGCCTGTCACTAGATGTCATTTTAGCAGGTGACATAGCGAAATTTGAAAAGACTGAAACAAATGGAACTCTATTTTCAAGACTCTCGAATACACAGGCCGGTAGATGCAAATTCAAGTATTTTCAAGAGAAGTAAAAATAAAATCAAAATTAACTTATAAAAAAATGAAGGTGGCAACTACATGGACTATAATCGTGAGGAATGGGAGATTTGGAAATTTGACATGGAATCAAAATCAGTTACCTGATGATCCGGAGTCCTTTAAAAAGGATTTTGGTGAAATAAATTATTGTAATGGTACCTTAAAGTGGTCTGTTTTTCATTATACATACATATACATATATATATATATATATATATATATATATATATACACCCTTGTGCAAATTAATTGAAACAACCGCTTTACTTTTCCTTTATTTCACCATTCGGTCAATTTTAGACCCACTGGAGTGACAAAGTGCAATCGATTTCTATTTTTTCCTCAGATTAGCTCATTTGCAGTGGTGTGCAATAGTATGAATCTATTTTCGGGGGTGTATGATGAAATTTGTTTGGCCTTGAAAAATATTATGTCATCCGTGATTGCATCAGATTTTATCACGCCCAGACACTAATGTCTCGACTGTCGATTAGTTGTCCTACGGCCATTGTCTGCGATGGACGCCACCCCAAGGAATCGTACGAAAATTGTAACGCTGCACAAACACACTGGCAAGCCTTACTAGTGAGCAAATCAAAGTACTATAAACTGGCCCGGAAATTTCCCGGATTTAAATCCAATCGAGAATCTATGGTCAATTTTCAAGGAACGACTTCGTGGAATGGACATACTAAGTACTAACATGCGTACTGGGTCATGTTTCATTGGGAAAACACAAAAAAGTAATAATGAAATTATTCGTTTTGTTTCAATTAATTTGCACAAGCCTGTAATTTGCACAAGATTGTAGATAAATCAAGAGAATGTTGAAGTATGGAGGAGATTTACTTTCACCTGATTCTAGCGTAATGGATATCGGCTCGGAATGAGAAAACGGAGATCTGAGTTCGAATTCCAGTCGGGTTCGTTAAATTCACTTACTTGCAAATATCAGTGGGAAAGGTATGAATTCATTTCTTCTTCCCCCTCAGCTATGGGTTGAATAGGACGACAGACAGAATTCTATATTCTTGGTTTGTAAGCATATAGGTCTCAGTGTCCCTTCAAGACATAGGCTCTCTATAATTTCCTGTCTTTTGTTGCATCAGATGATTTGAAAACTCAACATAAAGTAAATATTCAAATGGGAAATTGCGAAAATACGTTTGTCTTTTTGGAACGGCCATGACTGACTGATGTGTTTTTATGGATTATCAACCTTTTGTATTTTATTTAAAGCCGGAAAATATTTTTAGAATGCAAAAATTTTTGGGAGATAATAATGATTTACTGATACAAATCCTACTAATTAACCCATAGCTAGGGGGTAGCAGTTGAATTTATACGTTTCCCAACGGTATTTTGCGCGTAAGTGAATACAACAAACCCGACTGGAATTGGCTGTCCGATTTTTAATTTAGAGCCGTTACCAATTAAACAAACCTTACATCGAAGCTTACAGCACTTAGTATTCCCATCTGGGTATTGACCAGACTCAACTTTGCTTAACATCGGTGACATGGCCGTAAACCCCTTTTTTCAGGAAGAAATAAATGATAAGAACCGTTTCCTAAAAAAGATTATTATAGTTCTTTAAAAATTTTTAACCAAAGTATAGAATTAAAAAGGAAAAGAGATTGGGCGATCCTTTTTATTTTGGATATCAACACCTCTATGGGTTATTTAATGCCGAAGTCTAAATATTTTGTAGGCAATTTTATTTTATTTTTGAAGATAATAATGGAGTGATTACAAGTCTTACTAATTAATGGGGAAGAGAAGAGGTGGATTGCATATTTTTCCCCCAAGGATATTTGCGAGTAAGTGAATATAATGAACCTAACTGGAATTGGAACACGGCTCTACGGTTAATAATTCCGAGCCATTATGGATTACACCAGCCACACATCTAAGTTTACCGCATTTGATATTCCCAAATGGTCACCCACCCAGGTACTGACTAGGCTCGACGTTTGCTTAATTTGCGTATGGTAACCGGTGTTTCAGTGTAATCTGGCGGTAAGTCAAAACCGAAAAGGTATAGTGAGTTTTTATAATAATTAAGACGATGCTGATACTAGCAAAATGTTGACAGGAAAGGAATGGTAGTGATTTATATCAAGAGAATAATTAATGAAAATATATACGCACATTTGACCATACGTGAAGTCTCCGATCGAACAACAGCAGATAGAGAGAGAGAGAGAGAGAGAGAGAGAGAGAGAGACAGGCAGACACACACACACACACGCGCTCTTTCCTACTCTTCACCGAAGTTAAGGAACGTCGATCCTGGTCAATATCTAGATGGGTGGTGTCTTCTTGGGAATTCCTGAAACTGTCTGCTTGGATGTGTGATTGGTGTAACGGAATGGGAAACCGGAGGGTAGAGTTCGATTTCTAGTCAGGTTCGTTATATTCACTTACGCAAAAATACCCTTGGGAAAGGGATGAATTCACTTTATCCCCAGTTATAGGTTAAATAGTAGAACTTGTATGAGAAAAATCATTATTATATCTAAAGAAAAGAAATCGTTACAATATGTTCCGGCTTTAAATAAACTGGAAAGATAAACCGTAAAAAATATCAATCAGTCTTTCTTTCGCTCTTTTTCATAAGAATAACCTACACACACACACACACACACACACACACACACGTGACCTCATTACCTGAAAAGGTAAGCCCATATTTACTTATATACAGTCAACAAGAACAACAGCTGTGATAATAGAAAGAAAGACGAAAAAAGATGACGAACAACGAAGGATAGAAAAAGAGTGTGAAGAAGATGAAAAATGAAAATGATGGAAAGAAGGAGAAAAAGAACAAAAGGAAAGAAAAAAAGAAGAAGAGGCAAAGGCCTAAAAACGGAAAGGAAAAAAGATGAAGAGGCAAAGGCCTAAAAACGGAAAGAAAAAAAAGAAAAAAAAGAAGACGGGACAATAAAAAAAAAGAAAAAGAAAAGTGACGATGAAGATAAAGAAAGAAGAAAAAGACGAGAAAAAAAGAGAAGGAAGAAGAAAATATGATATCATATTTTCTTTATACGTACACAGCCTCTTCATGAAGTGTCCCAATAGAACACACACACACATGCCCGC